AAAACCTTATGATCACCATGACAATAACAACAGTTTTATTTAATCGCAGTCTAGTTTTCATCTTGATCTCTTTCATATTTATCCAAAATACTAATGGCCATAGAAGGTGGGGTGTGCCAATGTTTTAAAATAAATAAAAACTAATAAGTAGGAGAAGGAGACAGTAAAGTGCAGGAGGTCCTTCATGGAGACAGTAATCTGATCTTTAATATAGTGTAGTGTCCTTTTGATTCCAAGTAGTATTAAAGCTTCTGGAGCGAAGCCAGATACGATCTGTGATTGCTATCTGTATGATCTTTCAGGTGTCTGTCGGCAGGGAAGGGAGGGGGAACTGCCCCAAAGTAGCAACGAATCTATGGCTATTTGTGAGCCGCATCTGTTCTTGGGGACTCCCTGTGGTTTTGCATCAGATCACAGACTCGGAGGCTCAGACAGTCTGGTAAACTTTGGACCTGTCTAGCTAGATACTCTTGTCCCAGCCACCAGCTCAAACATCCGTTTTGCTTGAGAGTGGGGATAAACTCATTGCAATTGATTGGGTAAATAAAGTCAGCATTGCAAACTCAGAGGATTTGGCGAGAGGGCCGGTTTGGACTGGACTATATTATTAGATCCTGCCACGGTTGCATAACCCATTATCCACACAGATTTATTTCGGAAACAAAGTGTTAGTTTGATATCCAAACATTACCCAGCCCTAGAAAAGGAATTAGACATATATTTGTTTTCTTTTACAAAAGCATAGAAGCATCCGAGAGAACTCTATGAGTATCTTTTTAAAAATGTCTTCGAAAAATCCTATTAGCATCATGTAGTGGAGTTGGAAAAGTTGCCTTGTGGGCTACATAGAGCAAATGTTAATTATTTTAATTTGTACATATAATCTACCCTTAAAATGAAGGTTCCGCCCACATTCACTTGCTGATTGTCTCAAAATTCATCTCATTTGCCAACCAAGTGGGAGACTGTATTGTCGAAGGCTTTCATGGCCGGAATCACTGGGTTGTTGTAGGTTTTTCCGGGCTATATGGCCATGTTCTAGAGGCATTTTCTCCTGACGTTTCGCCTGCATCTATGGCAAGCATCCTCAGAGATGGATGCATTTTCCTACTTCCAACAGACCTCACTACCTCTGAGGATGCTTGCCATAGATGCAGGCGAAACGTCAGGAGAAAATGCCTCTAGAACATGGCCATATAGCCTGGAAAAACCTACAACAACCCAAGTGAGAGACTATTAGCAACCCTGCCATTGAAAGCCTATGTATAGAGACAAAGCCTGTTAAAATGAAAGTTACGTAAAATGAAAATCTACGTAAAATGAAAGTTACGTAGATGACATGTAAAGCCACCTGATTTCTTCATTTTGGAAGCTGAAGTTCCCCATCCTTAAGAAGAACTGTATTATCCCCAAGATGTTCCCCCTTCTTTGGATCACCTCCAGAGGAAAGTTTTACAAACAAAATTGCCAAGCGTGCTTTGGAGGCAAGACACTGCAAAGACGTTGTAGTTAAACACAAAATAAAGCCAAAAGATACATGTGTTTAGGCTATCAGTTTACTCCACTTACCTATTGTGAAGTGCCTCTAAGCCATCAGCAAGCATTAATACCTCTCACTTGAGATTCAGCTATCGCTGTGATGTTTGGTGGCATTTCCTCACTAGAAAGATGCCCACCACAAGAGGAGACTTTTAATTTCCTGGAACAGCAGTGATCCTGAATTGTCTCCAGCAGCCAGCAGGAAACCATGACCAATATTGAGAGGATATTGGCTTGGAAATGTAGTCCATATGAGCCAACCTCTTGGAAATTAGAGCAGACAGCATGTTGGCATCTCCATTGAACTAAATAGCATTTTATTTGTTTTGGGTTTTTTTTTCACTTCCACACAGATCCTGTTCCCCTAACCCAGTGTTTCTCAACCTTCCTAATGCCGCAACCCCTTAATACAGTTCCTCATGTTATGTTGACCCCCAATCATAAAATTATTTTCATTGCTACTTCATAACTGTAATTTTGCTACTATTATGAATCGTAGTGTAAATATCTGATATGCAGGGTGTATTTTCAGTCACTGGAAATCCCAGTTACTACAACTCCCAAATGACAAAATAAATCCCCCCGCCAACCCCACTAGTATTCAAATTTGGCAAAAATAGCCAATAAGAACAAATTTGAATACTGGTGGGGTTGTGGGGTGTGTGTGTTGATTTTGTCATTTGGGAGTTGTAGTTGCTGGAATTTATAGTTCACACAGAATCTAAGAGCATTCTGAACTCCACCAATGATGGAATGGAACCAAACTTGGCACACAGAACTCCCATGACCAACAGAAAATACTGGAAGGGTTTGGTGGGCATTGACCTTGAGTTTTGGAGTTGTAGTTCACCTACATCCAGAGAGCACTGTGGACTCAAACAATGATGGATCTGGACCAACCTTGGCATGAATACTCAATATGCCCAAATGTGAACACTGGTGGAGTTTGGGGAAAATAGACCTTGTTATTTGGGAGTTCCAGTCACTGGGATTTATAGTTCACCTATAATCAAAGAGGATTCTGAACCCCACCACTGATAGAATTGGGCCAAACTTCCCACACAGAACCCCCATGACCAACAGAAAATACTGTGTTTTCCGATGGTCTTTGCCGACCCCTCTGACACCCCCTTGCGACCCCTCCAGAGGTCCCGAACCCCAGGTTGAGAAATGCTGCCCTAACCCCAGTGAATATGGAAGGCTGAATGTAAATCAGGACCTGTCCATGTGATACATGTGTTAGAATTACAGAACAACCTTGTAACTTATGGAACAGGTCCGTGTGATGTGTGCCATCCCTTGCTACCTGTTATTAATAGGCAACGGGGCACAAGGCCTTTGCCAGCCTTGCTTCTCTGGTCTCGCAGTATGGCAGCTTGCACTTAGCCTTACCCACATCCTTATAAATTACGGAACAGAACATGTTTGATCTCCCCATGAAATGATTGCTGACATGTGGCTTTTTACTGAACTCCTGCCAAGCCCAGAATGTAAAAGTCAGAATGAAAAAGGAATGAGAGAAAGGAAAAGATCACTTGTTATTTCTTTTTCCTTTATGACCATTCCTAGATAAAAAGACAGACATAGATATGCCTAAGGGTACCCAGAAGCGAAATACCTGCTGTTTTCTGTTTTATCACAATTTGGCCGTGTCACTATGGGATAAAATTCAAGAAGGAATTAAGAAGAAGCTGCTGGGAGAGCTGTTAATTTGGACACTTTTGCAAATGATGTTTTCTAGTCACAGCTCAAAAGTCAAGAGAAAGACAAAAACTGACTAGAAAACAAACAATGCAGAAAGACCAATGTTTCCGTTTTCTGTTTGTACCTCTTTGTCTCATACATACATACATACATACACCCAGCTGTTTTGGTGAAATGTTGAGATGAGAGGTAAATAAAGGGAATCGTAACCATCATTCTCCCACCAAAACATGCATCCTGGACTTTACATATTCTGGCACAAAACATAGGAACCTGTTTCAGGAGTGTACTTGTTGGCTTGTTATATTTCCTTCTTCTCTTTCTGGATGCATCTGCACCAGGCATGTGCACCGGGCAAACATCGGCCCTCCGGGTGTTTTGGGTTTCAACCTGGAGGTCCGAAGTTTGCCCATGCCTGATTTACACTGTCCAGTTGACATCATTTGACTGTCATGGCTCAATGCTGTGCAGTCATGAGTTGTAGTTTTATGATTTTTTGTATCAGAAGTGAACCAAAGGTACAGTTGTGATGTATTTGAGAAAACACAAAGTTTAAAAACTTGGCATTATATTAAATGTCCTTTGAGCAGTAGCTGGGCACTTGGGGTGGCTCTGATGTCACTATAAGAAGGTACATGTGGCATTGTGCATGTGGCAGGGCTCAGGCTGCATTGTAATAGGTGGTTGGTGGTTTGTTCTTCTCCACACTCACATGTCGTGGATTCCACTATGTGGCCCCATCTCTTAAGGTTGGAGTTTTACAATAACTTTGGCCTTCTGTACTGGGGAGTGCTGGGGCTTCACCAAATACAAAACCCAGGATGCCATAGAGATGAACCATAGCAGTTAAAGCATTATAAAACTTCAGTGTAGATCAGTGTTTCTCAACCTTCCCAATGTCGTGATCTCTTAATACAGTTCCTCATGTTGTAGTGACCCCGAACCATAAAATTATTTTCGTTGCTACTTCATAACTGTCATTTTGCTACTGTTATGAATCGTAATGTAAGTATCTGATGTGCAGGATGTATTTTCATTCACTGGACCAAATTTGACACAAATACCCAATACGCCCAAATGTGAATACCAGTGGGGTTCGGGGATGGGGTTGATTTTGTCATTTGGGAGTTGTAATTGCTGAGATTTATAGTTAACCTACAATCAGAGATCATTCTGAACTCCATCAATGATGAAATTGAACCAAATTGGCACACAGAGCTCCCATGACCAACAGAAAATACTGGAAGGGTTTGTTTGGCATTGACCTTGAGTTTTGGAGTTGAAGTTCACCAACATCCAGAAAGCACTGTGGAACAATGATGGATCTGGACCAAACTTGGCACGAATATTCAGTATGCCCAAACATGGACACTGGTGGAGTTTGGGGGAAATAGACCCTGACATTTAGGAGTTATAGTTGCTGGGATTTATACTTCACCTACAATCAAAGAGCATTCTGAACCCCCCAATGATAGAATTAGGCCAAACTTCCCACACAGAACCCCAATGACCAGCAGAAAATACTGTTTTTTCTGATGGCCTTTGGTGAGCCCTCTGACATCCCCTTGTGACCCCGCCCCCCAGGGGTCCCAACTCCCAGGTTGAGAAACACTGGTGTAGATGCACCTTCTGAGGACTCAGTTCCTTTGACCCATAATCTCTTTTGATGTTCAAACGCAGTTGTTGAATATCTTCTTCTGACTTGATCTCACTCCCTTTGTCTCCCCCCTCCCTATACTTTCCTTTCTTCTTCTCAGAAATTTCCAGAACTGAAGTTTAAATATGTGGAGGAGGAACAGCCCGAGGAGTTCTTCATCCCTTACGTCTGGTCCCTTGTGTACAACACCGCCGTGGGCCTTTACTGGAACCCGCAAAGCATCCAGCTCTTCACCATGGACTCTGGCTGAAAGGATGGGCCAAGGCCATCGCCACCACCTCTCTGCGACCTTCCCCTTTCCTCTCCCAAAGTGCGGTCCTTCAACCCCAAAGCCTACTCAGAAGGAAATGTGTGACTGTTATATGATCCCTCTGCTTTTTGCAGGACGGCATTCTAGAAACCAGGATACTGGGGACTCTGACAAGATTGTATGCTGTTGTTGACTTGTATGTTTGTAGCACCCAAGATTTTGCATTGGCAACGGCTGTTACGTCAAAGTGTTAAACACAAAGGGGATGCTAACAGTGGTCAGATTTTTTTTAAAAAATGTAAAGGGGTGTGAATGTATAAAAATATATGTTTTGCTTGAGAAATCGACATTTGTAAGTCGATTTCCTTTGAACCTTCTCTGGGCCTGGTTGTGCTTCAACACTTTTTGTTTTTTTCTTTTGTTATGAATTATCACAACAGTCCTCCCTTCTCTTTAACATTGTACATAACTGAAATGCCACCCAAAAATTGTTGTTTATAAACTTGGTGACATTTCATACAGAGGCTGAAAGAGCAAAATCCTTGATTTGATTTCATTGAATCCCATAAAGGGAAAGTCTTGATTAGAAGGGATACATGGATTGGCTCAGACACTACGATAGTCTTCCTGGCTACCTTTATTTATGAAAGTCCGAACAAAATTGAGAGCAGCTGCCCACCATGAATATCTCTTGTCCAGGTTGCATTTATCTCACTAAGGTGTGCACGGGACATGATTCTGTTGTATTGTGCCCATTCACTTCCATATTATATAGTGTCATTACACAGTTGGCTGTTGGACATATTTTCATGGGTTTTACAAATGACTGCATTCAAAACATGACTGATTGATCAGAATTCCCTCCTCATCAGAAATGTATGTACTGTAAACTTTCCAAGGCAACAGATTGTGCCAGATAGACCTGGCCATTTGCACACACCTCTTAACTCTTCAAATTGAACATTTTTCCTTCCTTTTAGCTCAAAGAAATAGGTGAGAAATGTAAGTAAGGTCACCTTTTCACACGGAATATGGTCTTGACATGCATAAAACCACATAACCAGCCTGCAGAGGAAAGGGAACTGATAAAATATGCTAGTTTATTATCTTCCGCAGCTTGATATATTACAGAACAAACATGGCATACCTTGGGATGCAGGGAAGGGAGCTGACACTCTTCGGAATGGCTGTGTGCATAATATTCCACTCTATTTTGTTAACCTCCTGACCAATGTCGGTGCAGTGTTTTTCCTTCCACCTTTTTATAAGCAAGGTCCTGCACAATTGGAATTTAAATCCTCATCCTATTTATTTAAAATGGCAAATGTACACACACACATGGACAGGAGAGGAGTTCACAGGGGTTTGCACAGAGACAAACTTGGGGAAGTGGCAATATGAAGACTGAATCGTCAGCATGTTCAACGTAACGTATTAAATGACATTGGAAGGGTGGCTGAAAATAAGAGTACCTTGGTCTGCTGTGTTTGGGTTTGGTTTTTCTTTCTGGATATCTTGGTCAAAGGAGGACTGGGTTTTTTGTAGTGTTCTCCACAATCATTTCCTTTCAATAAAGAACATCTTGACTGCAGAATCTCAAAAAGTCAATGTTTTAAAGGTGAGCGTCTAAGTTGCAAATTATGAGGGTTTTCTGGAACATTTGAATGTTTTAGTTGAGTGATCTTTGTGAAATATTTGACACTAGATATTGCTGAATGTACTTATTTTCAGTTGTTTTCACTGCTGACGGAAAGAAAAGGGTCACCATATACATCTGTAGAAATTCACCTAGGACTGGGATATAAAGGAGGTTTCCTTTTGTGTTGTCCACAAAAGCCAGGCAAGAGGCTTGCCTGTGCATTTCAGACTGTCCTATCCCAGGGACACACTAAGGGCCCTTCCACACCGCTCTATGTCCCAGAATATCAAGGCAGAAAATCCCATAATATCTGCTTCAAACTGGGTTATCTGAATCCACACTAAGGGCAAATACAGGCAGGCCTTTATCCCAGGAGAATCTGCGTTTTACAAATGCGGATCTTCCTGGGGGCCTGTTCATACACAACTCAGAAAGCGAACACTTTCAGGGGTGGGTGTCCAGATGCTGTTGCAGGCCAGTCTTAAATCCCACCCATAGTCAGCATGTTGCCAGGCCATGCATTTACTAGGCAAAAGGACCTACACAACTATGGAGACTGCTGGGTTTCCTTGGAAAGAGCTTTTCCTAGCAATGGGGCCATGTGTGAAAAGGACCTACCTCTCATACCCAGTTATCATCATTTGGTTAGAATGGAAATGGTAAATTGTGAGAGGGTAGGGGGAGCCTCTTTCATCCCCCCACCAGTTCCACTACAGAGCATTTAGAGGCAAAACATTTTAATCTTTTGCAGCCACAAACATGGCCTTGGGCTAGACTTTGCCTGCCACTGAGTAAGGTTTAAAGCAGGAATAGAAAACATGGCCCACTGCAGAATCATGGCTTATCTTTCTATTGCCTATTCTAGCTATGGCTTCTGGGAGTCCTAGTTAGTCTATAGAATCATAGAATCCTAGAGTTGGAAAAGACCTCGTGGGCCATCCAGTCCAACCCCCTGCCAAGAAACAGGATATTCGCACTCAAAGCATCCCCGACAGATGGCCATCCAGCCTCTGTTCAAAAGCCTCCAAAGAAGGAGGCTCCACCACACTCTGGGGCAGAGAGTTCCACTGCTTAACAGTTCTCACAGGAAGTTCTTCCTCATGTTCAGGTGGAATCTCCTTTCTTTCTCTGTAGTTTGAAGCCATTTTTTCATGCCCTATTCTCCAGGGCAGCAGAAAACAAGCTTGCTCCCTCCTCCCTATGACTCCCCCTGACATATATATGCATGGGCATCATGTCTCCTCTCAGCCTTCAATGTCTGGAATATTACACAAGACATGCCCAGAGAAACAGAATAGGATCTCCAGCTAAGAACTGGGTGGATAAACTCAGAAGAAGGTGGCTCTTAACCCAAGTCCCTACCCATGTATTTAGCTGATTCTTATGACCAGCTATGGGTCCAATTTTCCTTTTCTGTCTTTGTTGAGAAAGGGGTGATACAAGACACACAGAAGGAGCCATAGCTTGTCAAAGGCTCATTCATGATGAAATCTATTCCCAGATGTCATTCATAGCCACCATCCTATGTCAGAACTTTCATTCCTTAAAAGGGTTACATTGAATTGGGGAAACAATTTAATAGAAGAAGTTAGCAATTGGAGTATCTGTAGATCTATTTCTGCTTCTTGTATTTCATATCCTTCCTACAATAGAGGGGCACAACTTTTCTCCTCTAACCCAGAGCATTAGACTGTATTTTTTATTTGAGAATACCTCAGAAAAGATCTGCAAAGTAAAGACTGGCGTTCTGTCCATCTTAAAAACTTTTGAGCCAGAACTTGGAGAAGTGACTGTTTGGACTTTAACTTTGAGAATCCTCCAGCCTGGATAACCGCTAGTGATGGCAACTGGGGAGGTGTTATTCAAAAAATATCTTTCCCAAAGTCTGTTCAACACCCGATCGCTCTCTCTTTTTAGGTTGAGAGATAACACGGGAACCATTTAGGTTAAGCCCAGGATGTTAAAATAAATAGGATTCCAAAATAACCATATTCCAATATTTATATTTGGTCAGGTCACAAATTGAAGTAGGGTGTGTATAAGGTGAGTCAAGTGGCTTTTTCCATTAATATTCAGCTTCTTTTTAAAAAGTGAGTTTCTACTTGTCCTCTTTCATTTATGAAGATCACTGAAGGAATATACAAGTCATGTTCCTCTAGAGCAGTGGTTCTCAACCTGTGGATCCCCAGATGTTTTGGCCTGCAACTCCCAGAAATCCTAACAGCTGGTAAACTGGGTGGGATTTCTGGGAATTGTAGACCAAAGCACCTGGGAACCCACAGGTTGAGAACCACTGCTCTAGTTCAAAGGTAATAATCCACCATTTTTCCGTATATCTAGGGGTCCTGTGCCTTTAACCCCAGTGAATATGGAGGGGTGGCAATATTAAACTATATGTATATAATCCTTTTTGTAGTTTTCACTTAAGATCATGGTGGCCAACTCTACCATAAAGTAGAGCAAAACAACAAGCAATTCACTGAAACCTATTTGCATTTAATAGAGAAATGCTGGATTTAAATCAAGGTCTCCATGTAGTTTGCATCATATTACACTTAGTTACCAAGCTGATGCCTCTGGAAAACTCACAAATAGGGCACAAAGACAATAGGCCACCATTGTTGCCAGTTCAAGTGGTGTCCTGATGTTTTACTTACACCAACAAAACACAATCTGCCTGGGTTGTTGTAGCTTTTTTTCATGCTATATGGCCATGTTCTAGAGGCATTCTCTCCTGACGTTTCACCTGCATCTATGGCAAGCATCCTCAGAGGTAGTGAGGTCTGTTGGAACTAGGAAAATCGGGTTTATATATTTGTGGAATGACCGGGGTGGGACAAAGAACTCTTCTCTGTTGGAGCTAGGTGTGAATGTTTCAACTGACCACCTTGATTAGCATTTGATGGCAATCTGCCTGTTGATGACCAGAGCATCCTCTCTAGAGCCCGCCCTCTTTGTGCCTCCTCAAAAATGAGAGGTATTGCTATTTAAAAATTCAGTTTAAAACTTTGCAAGGAAAGAGCTTGGGTACCATGATCTGAGTATCCACAATATTCTTCTTTACACGAAGCATATCTCCTTCCTCTATTTTTGGCATTTTCTAAGAAGTTACTCCCATTCCAACACTATCTGGAGAGGCTTTGGTGCTGCACCTGTTTTGCAACCCATTATAATTCGATTGATTTTACATCATGATATTGTCAACATGGGAATAATACATATGAGAAGCTTGGAGTGCCTCTGATGTTGCTATAAGAGGGTTCTCCGTTGTGTATGTGGCGGGGCTCAGACTGCATCGTAATAGGTGGTCTGTGGTTTGCTCTTCTCCGCACTCACATGTCGTGGACTCCACTTTATGGCCCCATTTCTTAAGGATGGCAACTCATGGTACCAGAGCACAGTCTGTTCAGTGCTTTCCAAGTCGCCCAGTTTTCTGTGTGCCCAGGAAATAATCTTTCATTTGGTATCAGCCATTGATTGAGGTTCTTAGCCTGCCACTTTTGGACTCTCGCTTGCTGAAGTGTTCCAGCGGGTGTCTCTGTAGATCTTAGAAAACTATTTCTTGATTTAAGTCGTTGACGTGCTGGCTGAGACCCAAACAAGGGGTGAGCTGGAGATGTCACTGCCTTGGTCCTTTCACTATTGCAGATGCATTTTCTTTTTATAGCCATCTGAATTAGAAGCTGTGGGTCATTCTATCTCATGCTAGGCTTAAGTTATCTTACTTAAGTTGATTTTTGTATTCTTAAGTAGTATTTTCTCTTCATTGTTTTCTTACCACTTAACTGCACTGCAGAATAAATGAAGTTTGACACCATGGCTCAATGCTATGGAATCAGAGAGATGAAATACTGCCAGGTCTTTAGCCTTTTCAACCAAAGAGTGCTGGTACCTCACCAAACTACACATCCCAGGATTCCATACTATTGAGTCATGACAGTTGAAGTTGTGTCGAATTGCAATAATTCAATAGTGTGGATGCACCCTGAGTGACACCAAATCACAGTGCTATTAAGTGTTATATAACAGTGTTATTTTAAAAGGCATAGTTTTCCTTTATCCTTCCTAAACCAGAAATACATATATTTATCATTCCCACTCATTTGTCCCTGAACATAACTCTAGGTTCTCCATCATCATTTTTATTTTGTTATTTAAGTTATATAGCTGACAGCATTCCCAACCATGGTGCCGAAGAGTTTTGGAAACAACTTCTACGAATTTCCCCAAACCGATCTTGTTCGAAAATCACCTTCTCGGTGTTGTCTCTGTCCAAATAAAGCGCTTGGAAATCATCCTGTGTACAGAACAAGAGGTTGTCGAAGTAGGTGAGTAAACAGGAACTATTTATGGAATGTCTGCCCTGAGCTCTGAGCAAGTTTTAAATATACATAATATTGTGGGGAAAGGGAGATGCTATAAATAGAGCCTGGCTCTGTGGGAGGTTTTGTGAAGCAGGCTGAATAAGCGATGGGAATGTTGTGGCTCAAAGAGGGCACGGGAGAACCTTTCTGGTTGTATTTTTCATAAAATGCTTTAAAATGGCACCTTTTGGGGCTTAGCCAGTTCAGGACTTCTCTCTTTTCCTCTGCCATTCATTGAAGAGGTGTCACTTCACTTAGGCAACCCCTCGTTGTCCAAGTAGGATAGTCTTCCAAGATTGGTGTTCTGTTGGTGGGTCCGTAGCTGACTGTGGAGCCCTATTCTTGATCTGCATCTTCTCCCAAGTGGAAGGCAGTCCCTGTCGGAGTTGACTTGATGCGCCTTCCTCTTGGCATGTTTCTCTCTTTCACCCTCCATTCGTGCCTCTTCAAATTCTACAGCACTGCTGGTCACAGCTGACCTCCAGCTGGAGCGCTCAAGGGCCAGGGCTTCCCAGTTCTCAGTGTCTATGCCAGAGTTTTTAAGGTTGGCTTTGAGCCCATCTTTAAATCTCTTTTCCTGTCTTCCAACAT